TCTGGTTGCCGACTAGCCTGCCGCCGCCCCAGTCTACGGCGACTGAGTATAATGCGGGCTCTTGGCTTCCCCCTGGACGGGGTACTGGACCCTGGCACCACGGCGCGGTGGCCGGCATCGCCAGGCCCGGCAAGACGGTGCCGATGGCCAGAGCCACTACTGCTACCCACATGGCCGTGCGATGCCGCGCACGGTCAATGCGCCCCATCACTCTTGCACTGGGAGCACTGGGTTGCGTCTGGATCTCACACCATGAACTGCAGACCCGCGGTGTGACAGACACGAGCCCCGAGGCGATGAAGTGGACGGCATGTCTACCCGCGTTACTATTACCGCACCTGGAGGAAGCCAGTTTGCACGCAACGATGGCTGTCGTCGCAAGGTGCTGTCGTGTTCGCCGTGAAAGAGGAGCATGAACAGAGCAAGTCCACATCAAATTGCATGATAGCTTCTTCCCCACTGTGACCGGCAACTCAACTCATTACTATTCACTCGCTTCCTCCAGTCTCCATGAATACTGCGCCGCAGAGTCAGGTTTTCGCCCGCAGAGCTGCGAAGCGACGACTGGTGTTCCTCGTCAAAACCATTGTAGTGAGATCATCGCGTAGATTTTATTAACACACGCTCTTCCATACGCAAAGACGCCCCTCAAAGGATTTAAAAACAAAAACAACTACAGTACAATTCGTTGCCGCGTCGCTTGCGTCCTGCCTCGTCGGTGCTGGAGCTTCTTCTCCGGGCACATCCAGCTTTGCATTCACCATACACAGCCACCCACACATAAAGGGCTCAGACATGGTCCGGCCAAACTCCTCACATGTCACCGATACCCCGCTTTGCATTTTTCTTCTGCCGCCAGGCACTGTCGCCAAGAGAAGAGGCTTGGGCCGGTGGCGCCGACGCAACAAGGGAACAAGACTCTACACTGAGGAGAATGAGCCACCGTCCGTCCCGAATGCGTCTCACTGTTCAACAGGGATACCCGCACCGCGGGACTCGTTTGGCGAGGCACTGACGGCAACCCAACAAGCACGCGTTGTCGCCGCCGCCTGAGAGCCTGTTCGTTTCCCTCTCCCGCAGCCTGCATCACCCCTCTCCGAGATCATCACAAACAGCAACGCATGGTGCAAAAACTGCCCTACGGAATCCTTCAATACTGATCTCACGCCCTTCCCTCGACCCAGCAGGGCACGCAAGCATAGAATCGCCTAGACAATAAAGTTCACCTGATGATGTATCATGCCCCCGGCGTTTTGGATGAATAGTTACACACACAAACACACACATAGAAGTGTACGCGTCAGGGAAGAGTATCCGACGGAGATAATGCATTGCAATACAAGGCACCTCACATGGACTCGGGATGCGTGTAGCTTCCTCAGAGCACTCAACCGCGTATAAAAGGAAAAGGAGGGGTGAAGACATCCGTCAGGAGTAGGTGCTACTGAGCCCTCTCCCTCGGTGGGGGAGGCGACAAGCACACTGCACAAGGCATACCCTCCCACCACCACACCAATGAATCGGGGGCAAAAGGGAGGGCGGACTGAAACTGGTTTCTTCTCTTCTGCAGAGGCAGCAGCAGTTGATGGCATTCGAAAAGACAACACATACTGACGATAA